ACTCTTTAGATTATAGATACTCTCTTTAAGAATTCTCATAAAGATTCTCAAAGTGTTAACTATCAGTAATATAAGAAGAAGTTATATAGACTTCTTTTCTCTCTCTCTTCTCTTCTCTTATAAGAGATTAGACTAGCCGCTGAGATCATGAATTTCACGTTTGATCTCATTTGATCTGGTCTCATACATTTCTTAGCATGAATCTCACTGAGACTAGTCATTAAAAAAACATGCAAAGTAACTATATATGAGATCTTAAAATAGAATCATGACTTGAAAAAAATGAGAAAGTGATCTCATTTGATTTCATTTAATCTCATTCTTGCTATAAAGTTACTATTTTTAGACATTTTAAGGTTTTTGTTAGACTATTTTTAATTTTTTAAAAAGTAACACTTTTTGGTAACACTCAAATGAGATTTAAAGTCATTTAAAGCAATAAAAATAATTTAAATTGAGAAGTGGAAATCATGGTCTCATTTGAAAAATGTGACAAGAGTAGACAGTAAGTTTCACTGAGACAGTGTGAAAGTACTATCTAATGTTAAAACCGTGCAATGAGATTAGTCAAATTGATAATAAGACTATCAGAAAATCTGGTCCTGGTCTCAGACACGGTCACACGGTCAGTCTATAAGAGATTGAGAGACTCTTCAGTCAATCTCTTTATAATACTCAGTCTGAGTATCTTATAAAGGTTTTCTGTCTTCTCTACTCTCTCTATATCTGTTAGTCTGACCTTCTTAACATAGGCAGATCTGTAAGAGAGTTTATTTACTCAGTTCTTGATTTTCTTAGTATACTTTATCTTGAATCAGAACTCACTTAGTTTCTTAGATCAGTAGATCTACTACTGTGAGAGTTTCTTGATTAAAGTGAACTATTATAAGCTGTTATAATCAGTTCTAACAGTAATCACTGTTATAAGACTCTTAAAGTAATAATATCAGTAATAGAAGAATTTCACTATTATAAGAAGCTTCTGATTATAAATATTATAGTTAATCTTCATAGATTACATCTTCTGTGAAAAAAAGATCACTGAAACTAGACTTATCATGTGACCGTATCTGAGATCAGAATCAGAATATTTGATAATCTCATTATTAATTTAACTAATTTTATTACACAGTTTTAAGATTAGATAGTAGCTTCATACTATCTCAGTGAAACTTACTGTCTACTCTTATCACATTTTTTAAATGAGATCATGATTTTCACTTCTCAATTTAAATTCTTTTTATTGCTTTAAATGACTTTAAATCTCATTGAAGTATTATCAAAAAGTGTTACTTTTTAAAAAATTAAAAATAGTCTAAAAAAAACATTAAAATGTTTAAAAATAGTAACTTTATATTAAGAATGAGATTAAATGAAATTAAATGAGCTCACTTTCTTATTTTTTCTAAGTTATAGTCTCATTTAAAGATCTGATAAATAGTTACTTTGCATGTTTTTTTAATAATTAGTCTCAGCGGGATTCACGCTAAGAAATGTATGAGATCAGGCCAAATAGAACTAAATATGAAATTTATGATCCCGGCGGCTAGTCTAACTGAAACTCAGTTCTTATTTAACTGTAGTTATAAGACTATTTCTGAAATTGTAAAGAAGAAGACATCTATCTTCAATTTAATTAAGAGTAAGAAATCAAAGTGAAATAGTATTATTATATCTGTGAATATCTATTTCAATCTTGTAAAAACTCTGTGAGCTTTTAAGATAAGAAAGTTCTTACAATTTTCTCTTTTTAATAATCTTTTCATTCTTTATTTATAAGATAACTTTATCTTATTTTCACTCTTTAACATGTCTGTAAGAGTTAAGAAGATTCTCATAAATATAAAGATAAACTATCTATAGAAATTCACAAAACTTAGAAAGATCTGAATTTTATAAATACTAGTTAGCTTCAGTTATGATAGAATAGTCTTAATCTGTAAAGATTTCATCTAAATATCATTTATAGTAATTACATATTCTAAAAAATTGATCTGATAAGTACTGAAGTTGTACTTTACAAGCTTAATATACAGTTCTGTCTTATTCAAGACCTTTAATATAGTTTATATATACTCAGTGTGTTCTTTCTTCTTTATAAAGTATATTATCACATTATTCAGATATATTATTATAAAGATATTTAGATATATATAAAGTATTTTATTAATGAAAGACTGAAATACTACAGAGACATTAGTCAGATTAAAAGATATTACTAGATATTTAAATAATTTCAGTGTAATTTTAAAGACAGTCTTTCATTCATTCTTAGACTGTATTCAAAGCTGTGTATAAATATTAATCATATTCAGTTCTGTGAATATAACGGCTTTCATAAGACAGTTGATCACATTCTCAATCAGAGACAGAGAGTAGTAACTCTTTATAATCTTGAAGTTCAGATTATAATATTTTATATATAATTTGTAATCTTTATTCTTCTTATTTATAAATATCACAGAGACTTCTGCAGAGATCTGTGAAGATTAGATAAAGTAATTCTTTAATTTCTTCTTTATATAAGTCTGCAGAGCTTCTGTCTCATGATGAGAGAGCTTATAGATTAATTCTTAGAAGAGTTTCTACTCTTCTATTAAATCTGTTGCTAGATTCTTCTTATAGTAAGATGAAAGCTTAGCTGTCTTAGCTGAACTGAATATCTCTATAAGATCTCAGTATTTCTCTAATATCTGAAGCTTAGTTTTCATAACTGCAAAGTGCTTAGATATTTACAAAGTTATTATATAAATAAGCTTATCTTCTCTAATTAACTCTGCAGTAATTACATGATATTAAGATTGAATAGCAGTCTTATACTATCTTAGTGAGACTCACTAGCTACTCTTATCACATTTTTAAAAGAAGATCATGATTTTCACTTCTTCATTTAAATTCATTTTATTACTTTAAATAACTTTAAATCTTATTTGAGTGTTATCAAATATCATTACTTTTTAAAAAATTAAAAATAGTTTAAAAAAAACTTTAAAATCTCTAAAAATAGTAACTTTATACTAAGAATAAGACTAAATGAAATCAAATGAAATCACTTTCTTAATTCTTCTAAGTCATAGTCTCATTTTGAGATCTGATTAATAGTCACTTTGCATGTTTTTTTAATGTCTAGTCTCAGTGAGATTTATGCCAAGAAATGTATGAGATCAGATCAAATAGAATTAAACATGAAATTTATAATTCCGCTAACCAGTCTATTCTTGTGTAATGTTAAATACAGGCTAATTGTTAATTATACAGAAGGAAATACAGGTGTTGAGATCATACTAAGATAATAAGAACATAGAAAATACAAAGAAGTGATAATTAAATACATGTAATAATAACTTCTTATCTCAGAAATATAGAGTAATTTATTGAAGTAATTTATACACCTGTGTATTTATTAGAAACCTGAGATGCTTGAGTTCTGAATTTTATATATTCTCTACAGGTTTCAAACTTATACATCTTGATTTCTCATATCAAGATGCTATCAGATAGCCGCATTAACTATTCAGTTATTAGAGCTATTTCAGAGCTCTGTTTCTACAGATTTTAATTCATGTTATAATTTTATAAAGTACTGTGAGTAGTCTTTATCAGATCTCTTACCTCTTTTTCTAATACTAGTAATTACAGATCAGATGTTCTCTATTCAGCTTGCAGAGTTTCTTAACTTATTCTCTAAATAGATCTTAAGAACTGATTAGTGAGCTCTTTTATAGTTATTCTTTAAATAATTCAGTCAATTCTTGACTTCAGTGTAGTAGAGATCTGTTATTACATAAATAATAGCTTCTTCATCTTTTATATTACACAGTCAGACTTATAAGTTAATTTGTAAGAAATTCCGCTTCTTGCGGATTCTTTACCTCTATTTCTATCTCTCATGTAATTAACAGAGTTAGCAGCCCTTGACTATATACAACTCTACAGACTGAAGTTTGTGAATACTATTTATAACTCAGCTTGAATACTATTATATATTTAACTTCTACATTTTATCTTTCTACTGTGAATACTTCTAGTAGTTAATAGTATATATTATATCAAGCTGTAAATACTCAAATAATCATCTGTAAGCACTTGTTCTTATATTTCAAGCTCTGTTAATTAGTAATCATCTGTTATAACTGAATGAACTAGAAACTTATATACTTTAATCTCTATAAACTCTACTATAGACACTCAGAAGCAGTTATCTGAATTATAAATAATCTCTATAAAAGAAGTCTTAGAGATCTTATTAATTATTTATAGAATATTATTTTCTATATCTGTAATAGAGAAACTCTCTGAACTTATAAATAAATTAATCTTAGTAAAGAATATTCTTAAGTATCTCTTATAAAATTAATCTATTTTTCTATAAAAAATACTTACTATGAATAAACACTCTCAAACTAATGTGATTCAAAGGTTGCTTGAGCCAGCGTACGATTACAGGCGTACGCTGGCTTCTTATATACTGTACACTAAATTAATTGGTGGCCGCTATGACCTCTTTACATTTGTAAGCAAGTTCAGAAGCGGCTGTGTTATTATCTGATGATTATACATTCTTCTGAATCACATTCTCTCTCATCAGATTCAGTCATGCTTATGTGATCATAATGTTCACTCTAGCTTCATGCAGATTAGTGTGTTACTAGTGTTTATAATTGTGTGACCTATTTCTGATTCAGCTAGTATTCTGCATACACTCTCACAAAGAAACTTTTACTATATTATATTACTTATTCACTAACTTTTCTCATTCTTCAATCATCTTCTTCATTATTGTTATCATTGAATGTTATTATCTTCTTCAAGATTTCTGTCTCTTCTTCTGTCTAACATCTTCTATCTGTTTATATATTATATTATACACATTTCTGATGATGATCTCTTATTCTTATAATAAGCATCATTGTAGTGCTTATACTGAGCAGTTTATTAGCAGTAAGTGTAATATATTATGAAATATGATCAGAACTTGTTTATCTTCTAACAGTTGCTAGAATATACTATTATGAATGACATGTCTTCTTCATCTTCTTATACACTCTTAGTTATTTTTCTTCATAGTGAGCTTCTGATTATGTCTTCTGACATAATTTTGCATGAACACAGATGCTGATATATTTGTTTTTATTTATATAAAATCTTCATACATTGACAGATCTGTGTCTGCTGATAATAGTGAACTCAATATTGAATTATTGATCAAGAACTTAAAGAATGTGATAATAAAGAAATTGTCTGTACTATATATAACTAAGTCTTCTATGTCTCTCTCTGCCTCTTCTACTGCTATTTCTTCCTCTGCTGCTTCTCTTCAATCTTCTACTCTTATCTCTGTTTTCAGTTCTCTCACTTCTGCTACCTCTGTTTCTATGACTCTCACTCTCACTACTTCTGCTCTCTCTGCTTCTACTATCTCTGCTTTCATTATCAGCTCTCCCTGTTTCAAGAAGATATTATATAGGCTTAATGAATTACATTTCTCAGTGTATATACTTCTGCTCTTCTTATCAACTTCTAGAATAATCTATTGTATGAAGACTGTGTATAACATAACTATTTAAAGCTCAGTTACAGATATCAATTATTATGTTTATTTTAAATATTTATAATGAGATAATTATTCATTTATACTGAAGAATCATCTCTCTTCTTAACAGTGTTAAGATTGTAAGTCTTTTCTTTTTTCTCTTCTCTTCTAATACTGATTTTTCTAGAAGCAATTGTTATGAGTTTTATTATACACAAAGTCATGATGTTCACAGATACTAAGAAACTTTTTATAACTATTAAATTCAATATTATAAGTATATTTACTCTGATGAATATCTTTGAAATAATTAATCTATATCAGTCTATTCTCTGATATTTATCATTTAACTTTGTAATGCAGATGAAGAATATCTGTGTTTTCAGAAATAGAAACACAGATATTATACTCTTTTACACTCACAGATGTGAGACTTATATATCTTGTCTGAGATATTATTATAAGAATAAGCTGTTTATATACTGTGTTCTGCTTTCTGTATTCTCTTATATCTCTCTCTCTCTTTCTGAAAAGCCTTGTATGTGTTGTAATTATGTGTACAATTCTAAGATCAGTGAGTGTTTGTTCAGTAATTATTATCTCTACTTTTACAGTTTTTATATACTAATAATAGTTCTTAATTACTTCAGTGTCAGAGATTATTTTAATTAAAGATAATAACACTGCTGAGACTACTCTCTCTCACTCTTAAGCTTCTTCTATTGCTTTCTCTTTCTTTTCTGCAGAGAAGATTGTGCATACACTGAGTTATAAGTATTCAGCTCTGAGTGACTTCTGCTATTATTTATTCAGTTCTGTATCTTCTTCTTCTTCTGTTTCTTCTATTTCTGTTCTCTCTGTTCTGACTTCTGATTCTGTGAATTCTGCACTCTTCTTCAATTTTTCTATATATATGTGTATGCATTTCTATATCAGCATTTCAGTCAATCTTGTGATAAATGATATTAATATCATACACAGAGTAATAGAGAAATCAGAGACATGTGTAATATTATTACAAGAGTAGCTTACAGCTCTTGAATTTCTTACAGATCTTGAGTTTTAAGATTTTCTTTGTTTTTAACATTTTTCAGATAGTATGGCATTGAAAATAGATTAAATATATGATATATGAAAATGAATGAAATATGTATAATAATATTTATCTTTTACAGCTAACTCTTATAATTGATGATCAATTCATTTCTCTTTTCTTAGGCTTTTTCTTTATCTGCTAGTCACTACTCTTACATGACCTCTATATAATACAGTGTTCAATGACTAGGTTTGACAGCTTTCTTCTTTTATGATTCTGTCTCACATATTATACTGTCTCTCTTCGCCTGCTCAGATCACTACAGTGAATAGCTCATTGAAACTAATCTTGCTTAATCTCTGAGTGTTCTCAGAGATTAAGATAACTTGGTCTCACACATCTGTAAATATTTCAGATGATTTATTCTTTATAATCTCTGTGATTGAACTGATGTAAATAGTCAAATTTAACTCTGAATCTCTTTTTCTTCTGTGATCTGACTCATATACAAGTCTGCTGCTTTGAGATTACTCTTTACTGTGTTGTATTCACTGTCTGCAGTGTGTTATCATACAACTGGCTATAGTCTCATCACTTATTAAAGTATGATATTCATCTGATTTCTTCATTACTTCTCATTCTTTTCTTATAATTATGAAAAGATTGAAATAAGTGAGATTAACTGATTTGTAAGTGTCTATGATTTCTCTTACTTTGTAAGGCTTTTCAATTATAAGTCTCTTTTTTTTCAATACTGATGATAGTGCTGTAGATAATTATAATTCACTTGAGTCTTACATCTTTACTTTTATAAGTTATGAATCATTTATTAAGTTATATAAGATCTGTCTCTCTGATTCTTTCAATGCATATGTTTTTAGAGAATGTGATTTAAGTATTTTATATAACTCAAATCATCTAGATTGAAACTTCTCAGAACTCTTATTATATACAAGAACTCATATTCTTATCTTAAGACTTGATTTCTTAACTAGTGAGTCTCATATTCTTTTCAATTGAATTGCTCAGTTCAGGAGTAACTCATTAGCTTTTGCATGTATGTGACTGATCTCTTTCAATCTTGATTCCATGTCTGCAACTGTTGTGTCTGCAACTGCTGTTTCTGCTGTGTCTGCAACTGATGCATCTGCAACTGCTGTTTCTGCTGCATCTGCAACTGATGCATCTGCAACTGCTATTCTCTCTCTCATCTTTTCTGAAGCATTCTCCGGGATGCGCGGATGCAATTCATACAACAGGTAGAATGATGAATGCTTGGAGACTGCATGCTGTTGAATCTGTGTAACTAATAGTGCCTGTCTGAGATATTCATCTCATAGTCTTGTAGGCTTGCTCACTAGATATTTCATCAGCATGTTGCTCAAGATTTCATTCAAGTGTTTCATCTTCTCATTGATCTGTGAATGATATGACATTGTTCTACAATGTCTTGTCTGTAACTGGCTCATGAAATGTCTTATCACTTCTTCTATAAGGTTCACACTGTTATCAGTTAGAATCTCACACAGCATTTCATAGTTGATATAGATCTCATTATATAGAAACTTTGTCATTATCTTCTCTGTCATCTCTGAAACTGCTTTCACAACTGGCCAGTCAGTAGTATAATCAATAGCAGTTATTATTCATCAATTTTCATTTAATGTTCACAGTAATATGTCTATAAGATTCATCTCTCATTGTTTAAATAGTTGTATTATACACTTCATCTGATGTTATACTTTCTCATATTCTAATCCTTTCTTAGATTCTTTTACAACCTGATAATTCAGGCACTTGTAAGTATACATCTGAATATTCTCAGTCATACTTGATCAGTATACTCTTGATTTAAGTATGCTTATGAGTTCAGAGCTTTCTAAGTGACTGAATTTCTTATGTATATAAGTTATCAAGTCATGTCTAAATAAATGTTCTAGATAGAGAGCATTCATATATTCTAGATTATAATAAAGCATAATATCATTTTTCAATTTTCTCAGTTTAAAGTTTGAAAGTATCTCTTCTACTACTTTTATAAGATACTTGTTATCTGATATCTTACTATTCTTCATTTGAGAGATTATTATGTTCACTCATTCTCATTTCTTACACTCTCTCAGTGTGTTTAACACAAACTTCTCTTATATCTAGTTCACAGAACTCTCACTTATGAAATTGAGTCTATAACTGATTACATCAGACATCACAGTATTCAATCTCTTTTAATATTTGATATGAAGATTATATGCTTAAAACTCTGAGATTCAATATACTAAGCATTTGAAAGGTTTTATTATTAATTATAGATAAATAAGACTTTTGTGATTTATAATCACTGTTGTTATATACTGATTATTAATATATCTATTTCATAACATCAGTGTATGCTTGATTACTAGTAATTCCTTTTCATATACTGAGTAATTGAGCTCAGTGTCTGATAGTTTTCTATCATTGTACATTATCAGATACAGCTTGCTATTCTTACTCATCTGTAGAAGAGTATCTTTGATAGCTCATTCAGATGCATCTGTCTTAATATAGAAAGATTTATCATGATCTGATTAAATAAGTACTGAGAATGTTATTATATATTCTCTCAGTATGAGAAAAGTCTCTTCACACACAGTATTTCAGATAATTGAATAAAACTTCTTCTTTCACAGATTTGTATCTATTTCTCTTAAGAGATCTGAGAGTGATGCAGATATTTATACAAAATTCTTGATAAATCTATAATAATATGAGATTAACTCAAGAAACTGTTGTACATGATATACATTTCTCAGCTGCAGTTAATTTACTATAATATTCAATTTCTCTGAGATGAGATGTATATAGTCATCACTCACTACATATTCTACAAACTTCAACTCTTTCATTTCAAACACATACTTTGTTAATTTAATATAGAGCTTATACTCTGTCAGAGTTGTAAGCACTTCATTGAGATACTTCAGATATTCATTGTATAAGTTTGAAAAGACTAGAATTTTATCAAGATATATAAGATATGAGATTTCATTCTGTTTATAAAGAATTGTATTTATTATTATTTAAAAGATAATGAGTGCATTGATCAGACTGAATAATATTATCAGAAATTTGAACTTTTTTTATTATATATTAAACATGATTTGTAGAACTGACAGTTTACTTATATAAATCTATCAGTATTCTGAGAGAAGATTGATCTTTGATAGATATTAAGTGTTTTCAACTGTATTCAACTGTTATTGAATCTGTGACAGTGAATATTCATTCTTAATTATAAGCTTATTAAGTGCTTAATAATCAATACACATCTGTCACTTCTTATCTGTCTTTTTCATAAATAGAACTGAGAAGCCTCACATACTTGATAAGAGTTATATGAGATCATGTTCTAGAAGATCTGTGATCTGACACTTCTGTTCTTTAAGATATGTTTATAACAGAGAGTATGCATTCTGATTCACTGATTTTATATTTCTCATGTTAATCTCATATACAAATTCTCATTTTAGTGATAATTCTGATGAAAGATCTGTTTAAAAGATCTTTTCATACTTCTTCAGAAGCTTCTTCATACACTTATTCTTCTATATATTCTTTATCTTAGTTTTCTCTGCTTTCAGATTCTGTATGATATACAGAATGCTTTTAGATGAGATCTTGTAAATTATTCTCTTTACTTATTAATGTATAAGTAGATTTAATTCTTCTATATCAGAGATGTGAAATGTTCTTCTCATATCAGTTAATAGAATTGTATGAATCATTTTCTTCTTATCAGTTAACTGTATATGACATATACATCATTGAATCTGCAGATTAAATCTTTGAAATTAATTAAGTCTGAGAATAAGATTGTATTTCATGTTCTGCAGCTCTCATACTTAAATATAGCAAAATTATTCTTCAAAGTGCAAGAGAACTCTTACTCTTACAGATAATATCAAATATTAATTATTAGATAATCTTATATATCAGAGATTTCTCACTCAGCAGATCTCTTTCAGTCTTTGAATTATATAATTACTAATATATTATGTAGAAGCTTCTATATCTACTAACACTTTTGCAGTCATCTCTCAATTCTTACTCAAGTGTTCTTTATACATTAACATTTCAGATCTTAAGACATTGAGATGAGTGTTTACTTTATTATTCTTATCTGCATTCTATTCAGAAGTCTGCTTTCTCTTGATATTCACAGAATTCAGAGAGTTATCTAATATAGACATCTCTTTCAGTTTGAAGACTTTTTATAGAATATCAGTGAGTGTCTCTGAGCTTACTGATTCTGCTAGTTTTTTGACTTTCTTATTTCTCTTGACTGTGTATACTGTATACAATCTTTTATATTATGATTTTAGCATCTGCAGTTGAAGCAAGCTTGATGCTTATAATATTAAGATTTTCAC